GATGTATGCACACGTGGAGATGAAATCGTCATATTTTGATTTCAAACTCTCTTCCCCAAAAAAAATCTTAAAATTTTTTTTTTTCATACCTCTTATTTTTTTAAAAAATAATTATCCATAACATTTGTTCTACCTCAAGGTCACGTCATCTTTTGTCATACGGGATCCTCCCCATGCATTATGATATTCGACCACGATAATATAATCGAAGATTGGACAATGAAAAGAAAAGTGGAGAGAAAAAAAAGGATAAACCCATTGGGAGTGGGGAGGGGCGTAGATGAATGAGTTATTACTAAAGTGAGAAAGGTTAAGGCGACTAGTGAGGGCACGACGACAACGATAGACGAGACCTTTAATGACAGCATCATCGATGAACAAGAGTGAGAGTGGAGGCAGTATACGATGGCATATTAACAACAATGGGCAAGAGGTGACGCGATGGAGGCTAGGGTAATTTCTTCTTTTAGAAAATACCATAAGAAAAAATAAAATTTTAGAAAGCTTACTGTTTTAGAGTCTTTTTTATCATTCATAATCCACTAAGAAATTAATAAAATAATATTTTATTATTTATTATCCATATAATTTTGATTTTATCCTTTTCTTTTTTATCTCTTTCGCACATCCCCTATGATCGTCGTCGTTTGTGCAAAAATCTATTCCACCGTCGATGCTCCTCAACTCACAATCTTTGATCACCACCCCCCAACTTGTACCTATCGGCAATCACTACCCCCCAATTTGTGCTTCTCGTCGATTACCACCGCCTAACTTATTCTCATGATTAATCGTTGATCATTAACCTATGCTTCTTGTCGTCGATTGTCACCCTCCAACTTGTACTCTAACTTAGCTTGTCTTTGCCTCATCACAGTCGTCTAAGAAAGAAGAAGAAGAAAAATAAAAAAAGAAGGGGGAAGAGGACAAGAAGATGAGATATAAAGAGAAGAAGAAGAAAATATATTTATATTTGTTTAGGAAAGGATAATTTTGAGATATTAAAAAAAATTTAAATGAGGTTGTAAATAATAATCTTCAAATTTAAGAACTTTATTTGGGGCTATATAATTCTCTCTTTCTTGAACTCAATCGTGGATGCTTCTGATTCGCTTTTCTCTTGATGACGGGTCCAATTGAGAATTCACTTCTTTGTGGTGCAAAAGGTGGTAATCTACACAAATTCAAGATGATTCCTTGAGTTCGCAGTTTACAGGTCGAATTGGGTCATGTAACGAGACTCGTTGTGTTCGATCCATCAACATCACACACTTGTTCGACATGATTTCTCAATGGCTTGGGTTTATGATAAGCGCAAAGTGCCACAGCATTCGACTTCTCCGTTGATCGAATGGCTTGGGTTCTTTTATCTTTTGGAGAGGAAGGGAAGAGCGAACAGAAGGAAAAGGCGGCACCTTTAGGCGGCGGCAGCGGCGAGGCGCAGGTGGTGGTGAGCGAGAGAGGGGCGCAGGTGTTCACCTACAAGCAGCTCCATTCGGCGACCGGCGGGTTTGGGAAGCGCAGTGTGGTGGGGCACGGGAGCGCTGCCCGATGGGTGGAAGGTCGCCGTCAAGCTGATGGACCGACCCGGGAAGCAAGGGGAGGAAGAGTTCAAGATGGAGGTCTCTTGTTGGTTCCTGTCCTCTCCACTGTTTCACCTGATCTTCATGTCTGTCATCCTTACTGAAATTGCTTGGAGGGCATTTGAGGCGACAAAGTTTGGGTTTTGGAATGACAGGTGGAGTTGCTGACGCGCCTTCACTCGCCCTACCTACTGATATTGATCGGCCATTGCTCCGATGGCGGGCAACGGCTTCTGGTCTACGAGTTCATGGCTAATGGGGGTCTTCAGGAACATTTGTATCCTACTAAAGGTATGATTATGTTCTTCTTGATCTTGCTTTGATAGGTATTCTTTTTGGGATTTTCCTGAGACTACATTTGAGAAGAGGCTCTTAGTTTGGGGATCAAGGGCTGTAATATGCTAATGACTGATGCTGTCAAGCATACTGGCACTGCATATTGGTCTCATTTAACTCCAAGAAAACAAACAATTATGATGAAGAAAATGCAGGCCTACTTAGCTCAGAGTATGAAGTGGTTGTAGACGGACATGATGAAAATTGTGTCACTTCAAGTAGCAGTTTCTTAATGTCAGCTAATTACTTCTAGAATTATTTGTAGTTTTGCAGAATATATATTTGATTGTATCTCGGACTTATACATATGTGTACCTTTCCATGTTCTAACACAGGAATATAGCTTTGATTGAGAAACAGATATATGAGAAGAAAATTTAAGCAATGCTGATTGTGTATATTTGGCATTGACATGATTTGTTTGTGTACCTTCAAACTTTATGAAATTGCTTTGCCTGAGTCTTGGAATTCTGTCTGATCATGGCATCCGTATCAGTTACGCGACTATATGCTTTCATCAGTAATTCTTTGCTTTGCAATATTAACCTAATTTGTTTTCGATAGCCTTTGAGCCCCTTAAAAGAATAGACATGACGTTCCATCCTGAAAAACTATACTAATCTTCAAAGGAACCGTTGTACGATAACCTGTGGTAACTTTGATTCCACGTTTCTCCGTAGGGGCTTGGTAGCATATTATGAATGAAGGGCCAAGTTTTAGGTTTATAAACATGAAGGAAAAATGGCTTGTTTAGTCTTAGTTCAGCACATATCTCTTCTAGTCTAAAGCAAAGGCAAAAATATATATCTGACGATTTTGCCGCAGCCATTGTTTCAAATCTTGTTAAATGAAAATATGCGAAGAATTTATCCCTAAATATGCAGATCAAAGGATGGCAGTACCAAATGTTTCACATGTCTAGGAATCATAACATCTGGTGCTAGTGGTGCATCATCAGTTAAATCGACTCATAGACTGATTGTCATATGTTGTTATTGTGGTAATCCGAACGCCTCCGGCAGAGACAAAGGCACCCTGTTTTGTATATTCTTGTAGTGGTTGGGAATTTGTGGTGTCATTGTGATACTTGGGAAAAGTCTTGGCAAGGGACAATTGAATAACCAAAATAGTGAGATTTGAATTGAAGAATTAATTGTCTTAAAGAATCTAGGGCACATGTTTTTTGGTACTGCAAAATTCTTTTTTTTATGACATTATTCATTTTCTGATATTTTTCTTCTAATAAGGGCAGCCCAAAGCATGAGCCCTACAAGTGGAGAGGTTCTTTCTATAACTCAAGCCTAATCATCTAGGTCACTCAGAACTACTTCACCATGGAGCCATTGCATAATATCTTCTAATCCTTTTCTTCTCCTTCTGCATATTTCCTATATTATATTTGCTTTAATCCATTGTTGATCTTAGTCGACGTCAAGTGATTGTAGCTTATTACATTTATTATTTAATGCATTTTACTTGCAAGTCCTTGAGATCATGGTCATCGACATACTTTCCTACATAGTAATTTTGCTGTTTTGTTATGTGACAACAAAGCTAACATACCTCCTTGACACTGAAAAGTAACCGATACCAATTTATTATATATTTTGCAAGAAAATGTATTATATATGATAAGATCTATAAGAGGAGTGATGAGTCAAAGGTGGAAACATGGTTTTTGGTTATGAGCCATTGGTTCATATCATCTAACTCCAAGGCGTAAGAGACTGGTGAATTCTAGAATTGAGCTAGTGTAGCTTTCTAAATTGTTTACCATTTGGTGTTTGTCATTGAAATATGTTGGCATTGCGACATTTCCTAAGCAGAATCTGTTTCCTTATACATAAATTACAGTTATTGTGAAGCAAGAACATTGTATGAATGGTCATAAGAATCGACTTAATTCAAATTTACAGGTTCCTACGGTGGCATTTCAAAGGTGGACTGGGATACGAGAATGCAAATAGCTCTTGAAGCTGCAAAAGGTTTGCAGTACCTTCATGCGCACGTCAACCCCCCTATCATCCATAGGGATTTCAAAAGCAGCAATATTTTGTTGGACATTTACTTCCATTCCAAAGTTTCAGATTTTGGAATTGCAAAACTTGGATCCGATAAAGCAGGAGGCCATGTTTCCACAAATGTTTTAGGCACACAAGGATATGTTGCTCCAGAGTACCGCCAAAGCCTTCATCTCTTCTAACTTGCATGAGCTAGTTCTAGCTTCAGTGATGCAATTCATGAAAAAGGCTTAGCTCTTTTTAATACGGCATCCTAATATATTCTTTTACCAGATATGCATTGTCCGGGAGATTGACAACTAAATCAGATGTTGTTAGAGCTAGCCCCAGGATATTTACCAAAGGATAATTTTGGCAACACAACAAAGACAATAAAGCGGAAAGAATAAAACGACAAGAACAAACAAAACACCAGAACACCAGATATACGTGGTTCGATCAATTGACTTTGACCTACATCCACGGAAGAAAGAGGAGCAAATTACTACTATAAAAGAGGGACACTTACAAATGCCTTAGGAAATGTTCCTAGGCCATAAAACACCTTCAGCTTCCTAAACAAGAAGACTTCAAACCATAAGCAGGTTTTCTTGTGATGCCTGCTGTACTTCTTGTGGTGTCTGTGGTACTTCTCGTGGTGTGTCTAACTTCAAAGCTCAGGCCTTTATTTATAGTTCCAAGACGAGACAACAAGTCTGATTTTCCCGATGTGGGACTATGGGACTTGCCAAACTAACAAATCTCCACCTTGGCATGTCCCAACAAAACTTGCTCCACCTTCTTCACAAAAGCCCCAACGGGCTATCACCAACAATGAACACCAACCAAGTCCAAGCACTGCTTGAACTTGTAAACCGGAACATGCTTCGTAAGCATATCAACTGGATTGTCCTTCGTATAAATTTTCTGAACAAGGACCTTTCCCTCAACAATCAACCACTTAGCGGAATTATCAAAAGAAACTACATCTGAATAGGTAGTAGGCTCACCAACTTCACTTGTTTCTTCTGCAACAGACAAAGCATATGCAACCAAATTTGCATACCTTTGTGGTGGTCGAATATCTCTCATATGACCCAAACGCATATGCCATAATTTGGTGATGTCAGAATCAGACAATGATGATGACGAGACTGCAACTGAACCTGTGACAGTAGTTCCCTGCAGAATATACAAGCTACCAGACCTACAAGCTTTCATAACAATAAGAGCAATTCTAGAAACTTTCATAACTCCACCTTCAGCTGTGTATTTACACCCAAGAGCTTCTAGGGTGCCTAAAGAGATGAGATTCTTTTTCAAATCAGGAACATGTCTAACATTAGTGAGCGTCCTCACAATACCATCATGCATTTTAATTCTGATTGTTCCTCTACCAACAACATCACATGCAGCATTATTGCCCATCAAAACAATTCCACCATTACAAGATTCATATGTGGAAAACAAATCCCTATTGGGACACATGTGATAAGAACAACCCGAATCTAAAATCCATTCATTTTTAGACTTTGTCCTGTCATCAATAGCAAAGAAAATATTTCCAAAATTCTCATCAGATACTACACTAGCTTCAGCGGATTTAATAGTTTTCTCAACAAATTTTTCATTTTGCTTTAATTTATTTTTCAATTTAAAGCAATCAGATTTAATGTGCCCCATTTTATTTTATGACAATATCTGCATTCCAAATTTCTATGTTTGGATTTAGATCTAGATTTAGATCTACTACTGTCAAATTCTCTTTTATCCATTTTATCCCTGACAACCAGACCCTCAGCCTGATTTCCTCTACTTTCCCCAGTGATATCTCTGTTTATTTGCTTCTTAGATTTTAGTGCAGATTTAATTTCCTGATACGAAACTGTTTCTTTTCCATAAATCAAAGTATCACGGAAATGCTTAAAAGATTGGGGAAGAGAACACAATAGCAACAAAGCCTTATCCTCATCATCAATTTTTGCATCTATATTCTCCAAATCCATAACCAAAGAATCAAACTTATCAAGATGCGAGAGTATAGATGTACCTTCAACCATCCGAAGCATATACAGACTCTGCTTCAAGTAGAGACGATTCTCCACTGTCCTCTTTATGTACAAGGCTTTAAGTTTGTCCCACATGCTCTTAGCCGTAGTCTCCGTAGCTACCTCCCGTAAAACCTCATCAGAGAGATTTAGAATGATGCTTGATCGGGCCTTCTTATCCATACCCGCAAGCTCTTCTTTTGACATATCATCTGGAATGTTCTCAGCACCCTGAAGTACCAAATCAACTCCGTCTTGAACCAGAATGGCCTCCATCTTGAGTTGCCATAAGCCGAAGTTGACATTTCTGTCGAATTTCTCGACAACAATCTTTGTTATTGTCATCGTTGCCAAAAGATCCCAGAACCAGGCTCTGATACAAGTTTGTTAGAGCTAGCCCCAGGATATTTACCAAAGGATAATTTTGG